GGTAGGTTGGTTTTGCGTCATCCTGTCTTAGCCTCCAGTCGTCCTTCCAATCTCCAACAATGTTCTTGAGGCGCTGCATCGCCTTTTTGTAGAACCCAGATTTGACCTCCTCGTTGACACCAATGGACCAATTCCATTTTTGCTACAAAAAATTTATGAAAAATTAAAAAACATAATTAGTACTTTAATTTATATATACAATCAATGCATGAATTAAATTTTTTAAAAAAATTTAGAAACTAATTACCGCGAAACACTTGAACCACGTAATGCGAACGTGGTCCGGTGTAAGAGTCCAGTTGGGGTGGGCATGCCGAAAGTTTGCCCGAATGATATCCCCAACGTTCTGTCCTAAAACATTGTCCGTCAAAAACCTACAAAATATGAAAGAATTTATATATTTATGATAATATTAAATAAATTTTTAAAATTTAAACTTTAATTAAATAATTTAGAACAGTTACCAAAACGTGTCGGGGCGTCGATCCGGATCGACGATTCGTAAACCTTCTCGGCCCGGCATCCCAAGAATATCTTCCACCGTATATCTCGCATATGGTGCATTCGTCGGCACCATCAAATCTGGATGAACACCGAGAGCCGGATCATGATTTTGTTGTGGGTTATGGGCATGTTGCGAGTTCTGGGGAGCCGGATAAGGATTTTGTTGCGGGTTCTGGGGAGCCGGATAAGGATTTTGTTGCGGGTTTGGGGCATATTGCGGGTTCTGATCAGGAGCCGGATAAGGATTGTGACGGGTTCTGGGAAGGCGGAGGGACATACTCAGGTTCCGGCACATAAGTGAAGAAATCCGTATCATCCTCAATGCGTGGATAATACGGAGGGACAAACGGCTCCTGAGTAGTATGTGCCGGTTAGGTCTCCGGAACTGGGTCAGGGCCGGATGAGGTGCCTCCGGATGAGGTGCCAGCCGAGGTAGATGACTGACCGAGAAAAGTACTCGCGTAAGAGTTTTTAGCCGCGAGGTTCCGGATTCTCTTTCTTCCAGACATAGCGAAGTAAATATCTGAAAATTATAAAAAACATAAACCGGTTAAACTAAACAATTAAAATAAATCAAATTTCAATTCTAAACTAAATCCAAACCTAAACTAATTACAAACCTAAACTAATTACCTAACTAACCACCTAAAAAAAAAATTACCTAGAGAGATGTTGTGTAGTTGTTAGAGAGAAGTGAATGAGCAACTGAAATGCTTCCGCGAGGTCCCTATATATATATACAGTTTTGACCATTGGTCGTACATTAGTCGTAATATTACGACTAATTTACGACCAATGGTCATAAACTAGTCGTAATATTACGACTAATGGACGACGAATACATATTACGACTACATTACTACTACAAATTACGACGACACTACGACTAATGAGGGTCAATACGTACATTACGACCAATTAGGGTCGAACTACTACGACTATGTTACAACTAAGTGTTGTAATGTAGTCGTAATATTACGACAGCTTAGGCTCCAAATACTTATTAGTCGTAATGTAGTCGTCTAAACCCTAAACCCTAAACCCTAAACCCTAAACCACAAACCACAAACCACAAATGTAAAACCCAAACCCAAACCACAAACCACAAACCCAAACATACTTGGTTTGCCTGAGAAGCCAATATGTATGGCTCAAATTTGTTGTACCTCCGTGTGGCATTTACGTCAACAACACCAAACTTACTATACTGAACACCTCTATTGACAGTGGGGTCAAACCATTCACATTTAAAGAGTACGCATTTGAGCTTCATGCCGGGGAACTCCACTTCGATGATCTCTTGTATGATTCCGTAAAAATCTGTTTCACCTTTCACACATACTCCATAGTTCATTGTTGCTCTCCGGTTTCCATATTCGTAAGTGTGGAAAGTGTATCCACGTGTGAAATACATAGATGCCGTGGTGACCTTCGCGACCGGACCTTCTA